AAAACCTGTGTTTTTCCTTCCTCTCGAATCGAAGGAAACTTGTATCTTTCTTGTCTTTTGCATCGACTAGTGAAATTCAATCGTTTGCTATTGTTTTTCCTAATTTTCCTACGATCTCTCTCAGATTTTTTCCACTGTTTTTTTGTGTTTGGTGGCTGTTTTCCCATAGAAAACAGCGGAATAGTTGCGATTTGGCTTAGATCCGATAGGAATCACTTGAAATACTCAAGTGGTACCTATCAAATTCATTTTGTCTTTGATGTATACAAAATTGACAACTAGATTAAGGGGTTGTATGGTTTGAAGAATTTTGGGTAAGTATTTTAAATGCGGGAGTTTTAGAAATATAGGTGTTTGATATGATGAAAAATAAATTCGACGTAAAATTTTGTTGAATTTGAAAGTCACCTTGTAGGTCATTTTTTGTATTCCAAAATTGATTGGTTTTCGAAGATGCCACAAGCCGTCATTGCTGCCATCCAATGCCACATGTTGTCCTTGCTAGCCACCAGCAACACTTCGTACCGATGGCTACCACCGCCACCACCGTCGCTACCACTACCAGTAGTAGCCAACCGCCCCACCGATCACTACACCGCCACCACCATCGCCATCGCTGCCACCACCAACCATCAGCGATTGCTACTGTTGATCATTGTTGTCGAATTTTACATTGAATTTATTTACTTCAAACAAAATATAAAAAAATAAGCTTCAATATTTGTTTTGTACTCAATCAGATAATTCTAAAATATTTCAAATGTACGTCTTTTATTTTATAGTGTAATTCTTTTACTCTTCTTTCATTTTTCAACAAACCAAACAAACCCAAAGTAATTTTGAAGCATTGGCTTGATAAGGCTTTATACACAGCTTTATATTTGAGAAATATTACAGTGATCCTTCTATTAGGGATATTCCATCTTTGATTAATATTTCAAAGTATATTTTTTTTTTTTACAAAAATCTTAAAAAATGTTAAAAGTGCAACACATGCATTATGAATGATCAAAATTGATCGTAATAAAAAGATTAAAGCTCCTGTATATTATTTAAATGAAGAATTAAGGGGAGAAAAAGGATTTACGAGTGTGCAATCTCTTTTTTATGTAAGCTATGAGAAGGATAACTAGAGTCTTTAAGGAAAAACTTGTGAGAGTCCCTTGCAGGTTTTTGTTGAGAGATTCAAAGTGGATCTACTCAAGGTGCATGACGAGGAGATTCAAGTTGATTAGAA